TTTATTGATTTCAGAGAGAGGAAAGGAGAGGGGGAGAGAGAGATAGAAACATCAATGATGAGAGAGTCATTGTTCGAGCCCACAACCCGGGCATGTGCCCTGACCAGGAATCGAACCCCGATCGCCTAGGATCCTAGGTTGACGCTCAACCGCTGAACCATGCCCGGCCAGGCTTAAAAAAACCTCTCAAAGATTTCATGTAGGCTCTCTCTTCTGCTCAACTCCTCATCTCATCTCACATGTTCTTCTGAACCCCCTCCAGAGAGACTTCATCCCTTCTGTGCCAGGAAACCATTCTCCTCCCGGTCACCAGGGATGTCGGTCTTGCCAAATTAGATCCCTCAGCCACGTTTGACACAGGCGATAGTTTTTGTTTTTTTTTCCTTCTGAGACACCGACTCTTATTTTCATCCTGCCTCACCGGCTGTCGTTTCTTCCTCTTCTCCGTGTTAGTTGCTCATGCTAAAAATCCTAAGAGTTACCCTCAGTTCCCCTGTTTCACTCATCCTATATCCGTTCCTTCATTGGCAAGTATTATGGGCTCTAACTTAAAATTATTCCAAGTTTGACTATTTCTTATCAGCTCCTCGGCCACCACCCTTGTGTCAAGCCACCCTGTTTCCGGGCCTGAACCATTGCTGTAGCTAACTGGTCTTTCAACTTCCAATCTCTGTCTCCCAGCAGCCAGCATGAACTTTAAAAGATGTAAAGCTAATCAGATTGTATCTCTCAGTCATCTGAACCCATTACTGTTAGATAAAGCTTGAAGTTTTCACTACGGTCTGGAGGCCTGCGTGGTCACATGGCTGGGTTCCTGCTCATCTCCCTAATCTCTTCTGCTTTGCTCACTTCCCTCCAGCCTCACTTTCCTCTCTGCTGTTGATTCAGCAGCAGGCCAGCCTAGTTTCTGCCTCATGGCCTTTGCATTTACTGTTTCTTCTGCCTGGACTGCCCTTCCCCCATTTACTGCATGAGTCCTTCAGTCATTTCATTCAGGTCTTTTTAGATTAATTGATTTAAAAATAGCCTTCCTTGTCACCCTCTAATTTCTTGCAGTTCCGCCCCCCCCCATAGTATTTATCTGTACTTGAAGTTGTTATTTATTTATATGCTTTATTATCTTTCTCCTAGACAGATATAGAATAAAGCTCCATGACAACGGGAACTTTTGTTTGTTTTGTTGACTGCTGAATCCCTAGGGCTTGGAATGTGCCTGGCATGTGTTTGGAACTCAGATATTTAAATAAATGAATAGATAACATGAATTAATATTTGCCAACTTTCTTGCTGTGTTTAATCCTATTTTCAAATGAGACTGCCTCAGAGAATCTTATAAGTTAGTGGTGCTTAGAGTTTCTTTGTGACACTGCTAAAGCTTCTCTGGAAGTGACCAGCTTTGTTTTCCACAACTTCATCTTTCTTTTGCCTGCCCTCTGGTGGAGGTAATACTAAAAGCAGCAGATGAATAGAATAGGTCAGTCAGAAGAAACAAAAAACGGAAGAGCCTTGATTGCTGGGTGGGGTGGGGTG